TATATATATATATATATATATGTATATTTATTTATTACTATATGTTAATTTTTGGCCATGCTATTGTGTAGGGATGCTGCAAATGCCATTACTACATTTTTGAAAAGTTTTTCTTTACTTGTTTTGTTAAATGCAGTGCTTCAATAGACATAGGGAGTTTGTATTTATAACCAAGTTCTAAATACAATGAGGTTTCAACTGTAATGTTTATCTATCATTAAGCTTCTTAAGGGAACACCAAATTTCTGTAAGAAAGCTAACTTCAAGAGGTAATGATAACATTGTTTATACTAGAATTATCTTCTTTTCTTTTTTTACTAGTAATTATTATAAATACTTATAAAAGTGGATACTTCGTATGAAACTGTCACCTCAGTGAAAATGGTTGACACCATTGTTTTGGTTTTAGAGTTATCATGTAATAGAAAAGATGCAGAAGAAAGAACAAGAAATTATTTTTACTATGATATACATAGACATTCCCAGAACATATGGCCCAGTCACTACATAGATGTTGTTATAAAAGGAAACACTGTGTAGTATTGTAAAATTCTGATGACCTATTGAGGAGATATTTAAAATACCACTTCCATGAACAATACAAGCCATCTCTACATAGGCAGTGCTACTGCCTGTCTGATGTATTTTGTATAATTTTGAAAAACAATTACTAGCAAAGTGATGAGTAAGCAGTACTATAAAGTGTAATTTCTGTTTGTGTTCAGTTATTTTCATGTTCTAATACTTCAGATATTTAAATTAGTTCTTTACTAAATAGTTATTTCAAATTATATTCAATGATGTTATTATCACATATGGTGGTTATAAAAGGTATTCACTCAAAAGTTTTAGTGTGATTTAATTGGCTAGAGTGTAAATGCTGTGTATCTTTTTTATGTATGTGACAGATTTTTTTTTCTTTTTAACCAAAGGTAAAATTGAAAATATCATCTGTGACATAGAGGCCTAATGAATTCTTTGATTAGTTGTACCCTCTGCTGTGGACTGCAGTTTTGTCTAATCAGGACTCGTCAACACATCATGGGTCAGCAAACGAAGGAAATATTGTTTGGCCTCTTATAATAGCAATGTGAAATATGATTTACGTCACAGATGATATTTTTTAGTTTACCTTTAGTGAAAAAGAAAAGAAATTGTAATGTAGTTATAGAATAATTAAACATTTGGTCCTCTGTATAATATCAAATAATAAATTAGGCACTGTGCCATAATATTATTCACACACTTAAACTGATTTAGGTTACTATATGGTGAATTAAAAAGGACTTAAAAACCCCATAAATTTTATTTACACACCACCATTGCAAGAAGAATAATTGTTTTTTTTTGGTTTGATTACCGAAGCTATGCTGATGAGCCTTGAATAGGCAAAACTAGAGTCCAAAGCAGAGGGTACAGTAAATTAAAAAATGCATTAGACCACTATGTCACAGATATTTTCAATTTTACCTTTGGTGAAAAACAAGTAGTCTGTAACATATCTGTAAAATCCTTAGACAGTTGGTCTGCTTTATAATATTGAATAATAAATCAGATGAATGCCATATTATTATTTATGCACTTTAATAGTTTATCTTTTTGTTTTCTGTGTTGTAGATGGTATTTGTAAAAAAATTTTAACCATTACATTTTTGTAGTTTGTGTTGTAGTGAAAAATTTGGTTTTGTTGATTTGAAAATATTTTTCTGATACTTTTCTAGGCATGGTTTAGTGGAATCTAAAATTCGTATTCTAATTAGCAACCTGGAAAGACATCCATCTATAGCACTAGCACACATAAATCCTGAATCTCATTCTGCTCCAGAACCTGAGCCGTAAGTAACTCGCTGAAAAACAAATAAATATAGTGATTATATTTGAATACGAGTCATCCAATGAGGATTCTATAAGTTTCCAAAAACCTAGGAATCGAAAACGAAACAAAAGTAACACCAGAAATAAATATTTAATAAGAAGTAAGTTGGAAACAAAATTCCCAAAATTTTTGACAATAAATTGTTTATCATGTTAATTCAGTAAGTCATCTCAGTAGAAGTCATGTTGAATGTGGTATGGAGAATGTTCACCATATTGTTAGTACAACAATAATTTAAGTTTAAGCATTTATAAGTAAATTGTAATATTGTATATAGATATGTAATTTATGGTAACCAAAAGGTCACTGTATTGTGCAAAATACTTGTTGTATACTACTTAAGAGCATATGTACTTTGTAAGCCTGTTTTACAAAAGTATAATTATATGTGTATACTGAACTTGATATTTTTTACATCTCTACATCGAGATGAAATAAAAAACAAATTATACAATATTAGGAGGAACTTGACAACACAAAAAAATTGTTGTTGATAACATTTCAGGAAGATAGAGTATATTAGAACAATGAGTGAAATAAAATGATGTGCAAATGTTTATACGTGACAAAAAGGAACACTGTACATTCTGAACTGTATGATCCAGTAAAAAGTTGCACAGCATCTCATTCATAAGAATATATGCAAATGTTGACACATGATAAAAAGGAACACCACAGTGAAAGGATGAAAATTGGGAAGACCTTTCACAAAACAGTATCAATAATGAAGATTGAAATAAATATTTTTTTTTTCTAAAAACATTTTAGAATATTGCAAATTCTTTCTTTTGACATACATAAAATTATGAACTGATCTTGACAAATCATGAAAAGGAACATCAATACTGTACATAAAACAGTATATGAATCAATGAAATGTAATACAAAAATATTTCAGCAAGTAAAAACAAACTTTGTACAACGAAGAAATAAATTGCCTTACAAAATCCTATAGAACAAAAGTTGTAGAGAAGTTTTAGAAAATATTGTTATGCAATAAATTTTAAACAAATAATAAAAAATGAAGAGGGGATGTTACTGTCAAAAATAAACTAGGTTAGAGAAAGGAAAAGAGCAGACACTTTTATGCAGTACATAAAATGTGAAACTTTTATAACTGATATTTTGACAAGATTTATGTGGCTTGATCGTTTCAACAGTTTATGTACTGCATAAATCTTAACTTCTTTCGAGAGTAACATTGGTGTGATACTCTTCAAAATGCCTCGTACAAAGGGTCTTATGACATAGTTTACACTGCACCCATATCCAATGTTTTGAGAGGCACAGTCTGCATCTTTTCCTTTGATTTTTATCAACAACTGTTGGGAAGTGCTTGTCAAGAGATAGTCTCGGAAGTGAAGATTCCTGCAGAGTTCTTGAGAGTGGTATACCAGAAGGACCTGGTCTGTTTTGAATTAAAGGTCCAACTAAAGCAGTGATCAGGTCCATACTGAAGGTCTTCTGGGATAATTTTGGTTGGCTGGTATGTGTCATAGAGATTACATACAAATTCTGTCAAAGGCATTAAAAGAGAAGCATCAATTACTTCATCTTCTGAGTCCTCTGACAGAGAGTTTCCCTTTCTTTGTCAGCTGCCATTTCTTGAAGCAGAAACACATGTATGTTACAATATATTTTCAGTTGTGCATCATAGATTTCATAAACAGTACTATAATAAAAATACTGAATAGAAATTCCACACATATATATATATATATATATATATATATATATACATGTATATATATATTATATAATGATTACTTACTTACAAGTAATAGTGGGTATACACTTGTTTCTCCTCTTCTATCAGCAACTAACTCTTGATTTTGTGATGAAATGTTGTAGAGATATTTCTAGGTTTTACAAGGATGAAAACAAATAACGAAATGCTAGCTCAACCAAAAGAGATCATTCTTATTATACTGTAACCTAATATTTTGTTCTTGTGTGTTTACATGTGGTCTAATGTTATCGAGAACATTCTCTATTTTACAATGTTGAAAGCCAAGCTTATTACTTGCTTTTTTTGGCAGATGGCACACCCACATTCTAAGGTAATCTGTTGCTAAGCAACAGTTTTGTTTTACTTGAATGGCATGCTTATAACTAAGAAAAAGAGCAGACTTCTCACTTAATTTTTCCAGGCTAGAAGGAACCAAGGTCATAAATTACTTTTTGAAAAGAGAGGCTAACTGCTGCTTGTCCATTGTCGAGATCTGTATCTCTAGTGTTTGACTATTTTTTCTCGCCTTATACATATTAGATTGATAGACAGTGAAAATACATTTAGGTTTTACTTTTATATTTTAGTTATGTATTATTTGTGTTTTAAAATTCATATTTGAAAAGTTTAATCATTTTTTTAAAGTTTACTTGTTGTCACCTTGCTCATGAACACTTTATAAAATTAGGTGTGTGCAAGTTATTTTGTTTGTGGCTAGTGCATCTCTGCTGATCATAACGTTATAATGGCCCGCAGGAACCAGGTGATACTTTAGCATAACTAATAAAAGCCAAAGAATTGGAAAGGAAAAAAAAAACATTAGAATTAAACTATTAGGGAAAATGTAAAGACATGAAATTATGCATATGGCCCAATGAAGATATTTTAAGACTGTTCTTCGAAAGTAAGTACATATTTCCATTTCTTAATTTTAAATATTTCATTGCACTCTATGTTGGTGTTCATTTAGGAGGTTCTAGATATTATGCAAATGAAATAAAAACTAAGATAATAAATAGTATTTTTGTACTCAAAATGAAAATTGCTTTGCAGGTGAACTATTCAGAGTCTGAGTGCAAATAACTACATTAAGCAACAAATTCCATATTAGAGGTTGTAGAAAAAATTAAATTTAAGTGTTTTATTTTTCTGAAACTAAATACTTTTAGGAAGGTTCTTGTCAAATTTCAAACAATTTCATCCCCTAGTTTTATTTTTGGAATGAAATATAACAATTGTGACACAACTTATGGACAATAACCAAAGCTGGTAGTCATAGGGTTAACATCATATATGATTATATTTTTAGTAGTTTCCAATACAATATCTGAGATGTATTTTACGTAAATAACAATTTCAATAGGGCTGTGATGTTAACACAAAAACTGATATTGATAATTGCTCCCCCTCCCCTCAATCTTGAATCGATCAATAAAAAAATCAACATTCAAAGCCTGTTTTGTTTTCCCAACAATCCATAATAAAGGACCTCTATATTATGCTATTACAGTGCATCAGAAAAGGGCATTGTAATTCATTTTTGCCATATTATGTAAACAGTAGGACACATAAGTTGCAAACAGTGAAGACAATTTAACAACTAACCAAAATATTCTGGGGCATAATATATAAACTTTCAAACTAAAAAAAATAGATAAATTACTTTATCTTAGCTGTCATTAGGACATCCATCTTGAAGAACAGAATTTAAAAAGTCCACATCATTCAAAATATTTCTACTCGTAACTGTTCAGTTTGTTACTACTGTTAAGCCTATTATTCCAAAGAAGTGGAAACTGCATACATGCAGTGTCTCCTAAATGTTTACAATTTACATGTTGTTGTCCAGGAATACAAACTTGACGACTCGCTCTGGATCCAAGGCTGTGCTCTTTTTATTTCCAGTAGTTGAAAAGATACGTTCAGAACACATGTGCCAAGCACACACATGTATTTTTTGGCCAATTGAGCAGGTGTGAGTATTTTAGGCCTGATTTTTTCCAGCATTTGAGTGGATTGCTATCTTCTAAGACTGGTGTCTCCTGGCCATAGCATATCACCTGTATCAGATGTGTTTCATGATTTTCTGTTTCTTGCCCATTTGTGTGTCTAAACAGATCACCCATTGCAGTCAATTGTTTTTTTTCTTTTGGCTTCTGTATTTTCACATTTATGTTTCTTGCCAAACTAGCTTTGTTTCTAAAATGATGTATGACTTCTTTTTAAATTTCTTCTTATACATGCCATTTTTCCTGTTCAGATAAATGTATTAATTGGTGAAAATGTGGGTCAAAGAATGATGTCTTTTTCAGCATCACAAATGTTGCTGTACCTCAAGCTCAGATCCCTGTAAATTTTGGTTTTTATCTCCCTTATGACATGAATTTTGGTTAGTGCTATATATATAACTTAACTGATCAGGATATGCTATAGAGATAAAGCAGCTAAAGCTGTTAGGTATTTGTCTGTGGATAATACAGCAGTTTTGAATGATTTCAGAGTGTCACAGAAAATTTTAACAACTAACCACTCGTTTATTGTTAACTCCAGGTGTGAGAGCTTTATCTCGCAAATTATAGTGGCTACTGCAGCCTGTTGCTCTGATGCACAACAAATCATGTCAAATGTCCTGTTCCAGTATGTCACACAGTCATTAAACAAATTTTCATTTGTCAAGTGAAGCAATTTTTGGAAATAGGTGACCTGTTGAAATGTGTCACTGAAAGTTTAGGCTTAGTAAGTCCCTTTTATATGGCAAGGTTAATTGTGTGTGCTACACATGGGGTATTTACCAAGTTGAGTTATCTTTATACTGCATTGACATAGTTTAGATCATTATCAGTAATGAAAGTAATAACTAACTCGTGTATCAAAATAAGACAGAAGGTCTTGTTGTGTCTGAATCCTTATCACATATTTTGGTATGCTGAAGGGGTGGTGTTTTTCAAAATATCTTTTCATGTTTTTCATATCTCAATAGTAGCAGAGTTTGCATTTGCATAATTTACAAACAACATTTTTATTTTGAATATGCCCTTCAATTGTTCATAATCCAAAGTAACTCGATTACACACTTTTTAAACCAGCTGGTGTAGAATTGTTTGCTTGGGAGCACTTGTATCTGCTGAACTGCAGTCACTTTTGTAATACATTTTTTCAGTATGAAAATGGATTGGAAGATAATTTCATAGCTCTACTAGATATAAACTTGAACCATCTTGGTAGCATTC